TGAATTTACACATGTGGTGGATTATAACAAACTTGTATTTCTTGATTTAGAACTCATGTTTGATAATGATTTTAACATAATTTCCAAAACACACTTTAAACCTTCAGCAGGTAATTCGTATATGCATGCTAACAACCACCACCATCCGAGATGGATCCAAGATATTCCTTTGGGATAATTTTGCTGGCTAAAAAGAACTTGCACACATCTTGAGGATTATGATGCACAAAGCACTATCTGTAAAAGTTCAAAGAAAAAAGATATGCAACAGCTGTCATTAACCAAGTATATGAAAAGTACAGTGGCAGTTACCTCACGAGTACTCGATCAGAAACCACCACTGCACTGCATGACAAGAGGGTGCAACAATCAAAACAAGTTTCATTCTGCACCCGGTACAATCTGAAAGCTTTCCACATCAAAAAGATTTTCCAAAAGCATTGGGGCATTTTACATCAGGACCCTCACCTTACCAAAGTCATCCCTGAGAACCCAGAGGTCATCTTCAGGAAACCCAAAGATTATAGGAGCTTTATAGCCCCTAATAGAATAAAGTGTGCACAGACAAGCCTGGCTCCTGTTTGAAGTTTGTTATTTGATTAGGCAACTACAGATGTGGCATAGGAAACTGTGGTTGTTGCCATTACATCATTACATGTGGTATAAGAAAAAAAAAGAAGTGATGGGATCCCATATAAGGTTAAACAGTTCATCAATTGTGGTTCACAATATGTTGTATATTGTCTCATCTGCCCTTGTGCCCTTTTTATGTGGGCCGCACGTCTCACACATTGCGTATTAGATTTGGAGAGCACAAAAAAAATATAATTCATGGGCTTGAGGGACACTCCATCCCCAATCACTTCCAAGAGAAACATGACAAGAACCCAGCAGATCTCAGAGTTTTTGGGTTAGAGAGCATTCCCAATGACATCGACAAAGACAGACGGTTTCTTAAATTATGCCAGAGGGAGACCTTTTGGATTCATCGTTTGGGCACTCTGTCACCTGCAGGGCTCAATGAAGGGTTAGACATCAATGCCCTGATATATTGATTTTATATCACTCCCTCATGTTCATACATGTGTGGTCCCCACCATTATTTTTTCATCCTACCTTTTATTCATCCTATATATATTTTATCAGCATCAAATTGTTTATCCATTTTAATATTTAATTAAAAAAAATATATCTTTTAAAACACTAATAAAAAAAAGGAACATATATAAATTACTATATATTATATTTATATTTCTTCTCTAATACACACTCATACACGTATTGACATTAAATTGTGGGTTGCCCATTGCGAATTCACACACCAAACACAGGTGCATTATTATGCTGTATCATCTATACTTAAATATATATTATATGTGAACTTTTTATATACGCATGTAGACATCTTGTATAATTTATCTTTATTTTTGTAATTCAGTGATTGTCATCTACTCACCTGGCCCTTTTCCCCCCTCTCAGCTTCCCCCCCCCCTCCTATTTTTCATCAGCATTTGCATTTACATTACGCATTATTATGGTTTATATTTTTTTCCCCAGGGACACTTCCTTATCCACTCAATCATCATCACTTTTCACAAGCTCTATTCTAGTCTTTAGTTGTCAGGCTGTGGTTTATTGATAAACGGCTGCCAGGTGCTGCTCTCCCTGCCTATATGTGCGCTCCAGTGGCCTTTTTATGACCACACCAGATGTGACATCACGATGATGCCATTCCAGTGAGTCATTTCTGGCCTATGGAGCGCACGACCAACTCAGCGTGCGCTCCAGCGGTCATTTGTCTATTCGCAGACCGGCTCCCCACTACACCTAGGTACTACACCAGTTCAGCCATCTCCCTCACCACAATAAGGTACTCACCACAATAAGGTACTGCACAAGCATGTATTTCATACAAGACTAGTCACAGTACTATTTATTGACTCACTAACATCCATTTACTAATTTGTTGGAACTCCTCATTTATGCTGCCATCACAAGGGGCCAAGTAGAATTGAGTATTAACTAGTCCTTATCTTTTATTAATGTGTTATCATGTTTTTATCATTTTATCATTGCATGGGATCATCAATGTATGTATTTATTTACTTATTAAGTTATTTTTTTTTTTTTTTTTTTGCATTCATTCTTATGGTCCCCTCCCACTCTGGCCGTGAGGGGAGGGGTTTTCGCTTGAGACGGTTCTTGTTATTCACTTGTAATACACATATATATATAATAGGGCAATTTCACTTGTCGGCTTCAGCTCTGAGGAAGGGGATACATCCCCGAAATGCGTCAGCAGGCCTACCGTGACACCAGTCGGACACTCTGCTATCATTGTAGGCCATCATTGTGGCATTTAGGCTTTTAAATTCACTTCATTTTGTGAGTATGTTTTTTTGTCTTTTTTCTTTTATAATAAACCTTGGATAATGTGCTAGGTGTTTGCGCCATCTATGTGCTTGCTTTCCAGTTTTGATGATTTCCCAGTCTGAGGAGGGCTGCACCACCAAGAATTTATCCATAGGTTATCAACTCATTGAACTCCCTGGCCTCTTCCTGGCATTCACCCCCCTTTTTGAGGTGCTGGAGGGATAGTGCTTTTCATACAGCTGATCATGTGACAAAAGGCCTCTGTGATTAACCTTTTGACGTCATGTGATCAGCTGTGCCCAAAGGACACAGCGATCACAGACAGCGCAAGGTGTGCGCCACTGGGGGTGTGCGGGGGGGGCGTACCGGGAGGACATCATATGACTGAAATTGGACTTCTGCGCTGTAGCCATCATTTAGCTATAGCACGGTAGTAAAGTGGTTAATATAATATCACCAGTCAGTATCCCCGATCACTGTCACGCCAGCCATATGATGACACTGTACTGCATTGGTGACAGTATGTAAAAAATAAGTTCAAAAAACTAATTTTACATAATTTTTTAATTTTCCAAAAAAAACTTAAAAAAATCTTGCCATTCCTATTACTAAATACTTTGAACTGTCTGCTTTCCAAAAAGGGGTCATTTGGGTGGTATTTGTACTGTCCTGGCATTTTTGGGCCTCAAGAAATTAGATAGGCCTGCAGTACATCAGGATTGATCAATTTCCAAATATATATATATATATCTATATCTATATCTATATATCTATATATATATATATATATATATATATATATACACATACATATTATAGTTTGTAGACTCTACAACTTTCATACAAGTAAAAAAATGTAGCAGATTACATTTTGGCCTAAATTTATGAAGAAAATGATTATCTGTTTTCAAAGTTTTAAAACAGAAACTAAGGAAAAACATTATTTCAAAATGTCTGGATTTTTCATTCATACAGCAAAAAATAAAAAATCCAGTCGTGATTAAATACCACCAAAAGAAAGCTCTATTTGTCTCAAAAAATGTTAAAACGGAGTTCCACTCAAAAACGGAAGCTCTGCTTATTTGCCTCCTCCCCCCTTCCAGTGCCTGCTCCCACTCCCGACTCAGTTTGCCATGACGAAGTAACCCGGAAGTTCGGCTCCCTCCTTGCTCCCAACTTTCACAGATCCCAGGAGATTGCGGGACTAATCAGGAGGCATGGCACGACTCGAGCATGTGCACTGGGCACCAGGCTGTGAAGCCGCAAGCTGTCACATCCTGGTGCCCACAGTAGAAATGCCGGCACTGTAGAGGACAGAAGGAGAGAAGGGACTGCGCAGTTGAGTACATCGTGACTGTAACCCTGTGTGCAAAGCCAGCTCCATAAAGACATGGTTTGGTCAGTTTAGTGTGGTGAAAATCAAGTGCAGAGAGCCTGCAAAAGCCACAAACTCTTCCCTTTTCAACACCATGAATTGAAACATTTATTTCAAGCCAGGTCTTTTTGTCCAAAATTATTACCTGACCTCAGAATTATGTTCTGGCTAAATTGTCACAAATTCCCACAGACTTTTGAGAAAAGCCTTGGAATGCCCAGCAAACTCATATTACAGTAAGTACAAGTTGTTTCTAATATCCAAAAGTATTCCAATTGGATTTTTAGCAAACAAAAGCCCAAATGCAGCCAGTCAGTTGTCGTTTCATAGATTAGGAAATAGAACAGACATTCTGATTGGCAGCTATGGGGAAGCAAAACACACAGGAAGGACATTTGGGGAATAATGGAGGAACTGTTCCTGTTTTAACTAAAAAGAGTCTCCATTCACTTCCATGTGTTTTGTATTGAAAACGGGGAGAATTTAATCAGTGTCCATTTATATTTCAAAATTTTTATTGAAAATCTGTAAAAGACAATATACAGCAATATAGAAAACATAACCCACCCACATGATGAGTTGTAGCAAAACAATCAGAATCATAGAATATATAGGCACATAAGAATACATCAACCAATGATGTAAACAATAAAGCATAAACCCCAATAGGGTGGCAAGTATTCCATAAATCAGTAGGTTTGGGCAGTATCATATAACCAAATAACAAAAATAAAGAAACTGAAAAAAAAAAAAAAATCAAAGAAGAGGATAAAGAATAGATTGGAAAAGAAGAAAAAAAAAGAGAGAAGAAAGAAAGAAAGAAAGAAAGAGGGCCAACCATAAGTCCATTAAATAACAGAGATATACCTAACCCATGGTTCCCATGTATACTCAGATTTAGAGGTATTATTGTTAACGATACTAGTACGTTTATCATTAATCATAATCCAATTAAGTTTCTGTTTGACCAGGTCTAGCGGAATTGTTGACTGTCTCCAGCGTCCAACTATAGTAATTTGTGCCACCAACAAAAGATAAAGAATTAATTTAACTGATTTTTTAGGAATATCAGTGGCAATAGATGAAATAAGGCTACTTCAGGTGATCTGCGTATATTAATTCCTGTTACCGAATAAATGAAGTTGATCAGTGTCCATTTAGACATGTACTGTATATACAGTGCGTAAAACCTGGTATTTTAATAACCTTGAAAATTTCACCTTGTTATCTTTCTATCTTTCCATTGCTGCAGGAGGGTTTCTTATACCTAAAGGTGTAAATGTAGTAATTGTACCATTCGCACTGCATCGAGATCCAGAAACTTTCCCTGAGCCAGAGGAATTTAGACCAGAACGTTTTCTTCCTGAGAATTCAAGCGGACGTAATCCTTATGCATATATACCTTTCTCTGCTGGGCTTAGGAACTGCATAGGTGAGCTGAAAGTGTCAGCAGATTTACAGAACATGAATCTAAATTATGATACTGTTTTATGAATTTATGAAGCAAAGTGTGTTTGTTATATGTTATGGAAGCAAGCATTTGGGATAAAACTGTCACTCCAGATTCAGAGGACTAGCTGTTTAAGTTACCATTTACACATGTGTTTATGTTAACTTGTTATAAAATTATGTTTTACAATGTCTTACCACAATACACATTAAAACATTTATACAGGGTGTAGTACAGTGCCATTCATTTTGGATGACACTAATGCATCTCTGTATCATACCCAGTGCACATGAGTTGGTTGAGATGGTTTACATCTACGTGGTGTGGTGCTCTTTATAGATTAAAAAATATGTATGTTAAAACCTGTGTTGTGCTTTGTGAGCAGCCAATTCAAAATGAATGGACTGTCTTACTGCAACACATTACCTTGCACAAAATAATGCACATTGCCACACATGTGATAATATACAAAGTGTGAGCAGCTCTAAAGGAGTAGAATGCTCATATGTTACAGTGAAACTGTGTTTGCTGCAATCATCTAGTCATGTGCCAGAGGATTTTCAAGCATTGCATCTCTTACACATGATTAGGTAGTACTGATTACATGGACACGCTTGATTTTGATTTCCACATTTAGACCATGTGGACAATTTACTAGGCTGTTCAATTAGCAAAGTGAAAGCTTCCTTTTCTCAGAGTGAATGTAAATAAAAAGGTGAACCTGTGTTTACTTTGAAGACCCAGTCACTTCTAAAGCAAAAAAGACTTGATTTTTGCTAGAACATGAAAGACTTGTTGAGATGAACACAGCATCATCATGTTCGCCAAACTCAGTGAACAGTCAGCCCCAATTCCTTTACTAAATAAACCCTTTTAAAATTATTTCCATTTGGTTTCCAGACTTGTGCCTGTTGCAACCTACATACAAGGTCTAGATCTCACTGTTACAAGACTGTGTATATGAAGCCACATCCAATAAAGTCAATCCAGCATAACATGTACAATCAAGTCATGGGAACTGATTAGTGCAGTTCTAGGATCTCCCTTGTGTTATTCATTAATATGAAATGTGGGAACCACCATTTATAACATATTTATGTGAAAACAGATGTGGTTGAGTAACCTACTTTTTCATGTATGTTGTGTCTCTGCTTTAACTTCAGGCCAACGATTCGCTTTAATGGAAGAAAAAGTTGTTCTATCTACCATCCTGAGAAACTTTTCCGTAAAAGCAAGCCAAAAGAAGGAGGAAATTCGCCTGTTGGGAGAACTTATTCTGCGTCCGCAGGATGGCATTTGGATTGAGCTGGAGCACAGAACACCCAGCTCTGTTGCCCAAACCTTGTGAAGCAACATCACTGTGTGAACCTTAACTTACTATCAGTTTAATTGTTATTAATTGTAAATAGCTTATTCTGTCTGCTTGTGGACACATGTAATACATATAAAGTGTACCAGGTACTGGACATTTTATTGATGTTAAAAGACAGGAGAAAGGATCTATTTCCTGATGCCTTACAAGACCCCATGTTCCGTGGGCAATAATGCAAGTACCTCAGGCCACAAAAATGCAGTATTCTTAAACGTAGTTGGTTACGTGTAGATATGAATAGGAAAAGGATCAGGCACTCCATCAGTCATAACGATCTGTATCCTTTTATTTATTGTTTTGTTCTTTGGTTTCACTTAATCAAAATAGACAGAAATAGAATGTAAAAAAAAAATATCAGGGTAGTGATGATGTGCACAATTCAGTAACCAGTCAGAATACTGCATTATGTCAGCATTGGTCTGTGTAATGCCTTATGGGATAAAAGGAATGTTAACTTTTCTTGAAAATGGAAGTAAGATTTAGCTGACTGTCTTGTATTTGTTTTGTTTTGAACATTATTCATTTGGTAACATTCCAATGGCAACATTTGCATGAAGCCTGGTAACTGGAGATTTAAAGCAGCCTGTCACTTTTGAAATGTCTTACTCATTAATCCAATAATTAAAGTTATATAATGTTCTGATATATTTCATATGTCACAATGGTTATTTTAGAGACTGCCTGCTTCCATAGAAACGGCTGTTGTGACTCTGAGCAGCCAGCCTGGTCGCCAGAGTTCTGTTTGTCTTTTTTCTAACCTCTCTCATCAAACCTAGCAAAGTTACTTAATCAACAACTCATCTACTTGATTTCACTTTTTTGTAGCAAAGGCTAAGTAATATTTTAAAGTTTATAACTGAGAGGAGGTGCCTAATATGTTCAGGAGAGATAAGCAAAGGGGTATGTGTTGGAATTTTCAAGATTCACATCACTTTCATAGTGACAGTTCCGAAAATTTCCATGTTCATCAAATTAATTGTAGAAAAAGTCATAATTTGCAACCCACTAAATGGTGGTTACGATCAAAAACAACCTATGATAAGCTTAAAGTGAACCATTCACCATTGCTAAATTACTACTTTTTATAGTTTATTTGATACACACCTCTGCCTCTACATTGCAACCAAAGTCCAGAGGTCTGACAGGTCTCCTACAATAAAGAGTTCAAAGATGCATAAAAGCTCTCTTCTGAGCCAGAAATGTCAGTTTGATAGGCTCCTAGAGCACAGAGAAGTCGTTTTTTTTAATACAACTAAAGTACAAGCAGTGCCAGGACAAGTTGACCTTGCAACCAGGGCTAATGTGCCAAATTGAGCAACCCCCTGGGCTGTATGGTAAGCTGTCTCAGCAACAATTCCCCCCCAAACAAAGAGCACTAATCTGCATGTTTACCCCCTCAAAATAAATTCCCCCTACTCCCAGTACAAATCTGCCCCCCCCCCACTGAAATCCCCCCCTCCAGCACACAAATGCTTGCCCCCCTCCCTCCCCCAGCTCATATCCTCTCTTCATATGCCCCAACACAAACCCCCCCCCAAAAAAAAAATAAAATAAAATCCACCTCTTTGCACAGATTCACTACCCCTCAAATTTCCCCTCTGAGCACACATTCCCTCCCCCCACTCCAAATCCCCCCTTTCCAGCACAAATTCCCTTCCCTCAATCCCCATTCTAGCACAAATTGACCTGCCTAGCACAAGAACCCCCAATCCTCCCTACTAGTACAAATCCCCCCCCCCCCCCAAAAAAAAAAGAAATTCCCCCTCCCACCACAAACCCCACCACCACATCACCTTTTCTAACACAAACCCTTCAAACCATCCCTTCTAGCATAAATTCTCTTCCCCCCTCCCAACACAAATCCCCCCCAAATCACCACTCCTAGCACACCTCCCATAATTTCCCCTGCTACAACAATTCTTACCCCCTTCCACCCCCCACATTCCCCCTAACAACACAAATCCCCTCCCTGCAATCTTCTCATGGTGCCCCCACCTCCCCCGCCCCCTCCTGGCTACCCTTTGGCCCACTCCTTAATACCAGTACCTTGTACCATTACCTTGAGTTGTATACTCCCAGGGAAACTGATAAAATCAGTATCTTAGATGTGGCAGTAGGTTTTCTGTGATTGAATACTAGATTGCATTAGTTTGTAAATTTTCTGTAAAATATTGGTGCAGTTTTGAGGGATGTGTAAAGTATTAGAAAAACACGGTTTGGATGGAACATTAACATTCACAATTTAATTTTTTCATTACTGTTAAAAAATCAAGCAATGTATTTGGTACCTTTCTAAAAAAAAAAGACAATAAAATACCTTTTAATATGTAAAATGACAAAAAGCAGTCAATGGTCATTCTTCTGTATATGCTTTCAACAAGATATGGTTAGTTGTAATTTGGAATTGGGCATTGAAACCCATATAGTCTAATTGATTTAAATCCATGGATGGCAGCCAGTAAGGTTTTTCCAGTCTTGCCCTTGTCTCCTCTAAAAGGCTACACCATATGTCTACTTCATTAGCTTAGAAACAAGTAAAAACCTACTTGTTCTGAGTGCTAAGATACATGGGACACACCATGGAGCCAGGCAAGTCACATAATATGCTCAGAAATATGTTAGCAGTATGACAGTTGCACATTGATATATATTTTTTTCCACTCTTGTTCTGTGTGTGTGGAGAAAAAGAACCAAAGGGCTATTTGTCATCAGTAAACACCAATTGGTTAGAAAAAAAAGTAAAAGATCTATAAATTATAAAGTATGGTGAACTAATAATCATGTAGAATTACAGTTTGGGAATGGCAGGTAATCAGCACAATTGGTGCAAAAAATCCTGTGTTTGTTGCACACATATATATATATTATATATATATATATATATAATATATAATAAATTTGTTGCACACATTTTTGACAGATAAAATTTCCAATATATACAGGTGAAACTATAAAATAAATGTTTGCTTTTGGTTTAATAATGCTTTAAGAGCAGCGTCCACGCCCTATCCATAAAGAGAAAATTGTAACAAGGCCATGCCTTGTATATTGTCACTAATATTGCAATCATGCTTATATTGTAATTTTGTAATTTGCAGTTTTATAGCTTTCTTCAGTTGTGTGTATATAATGTGAAACTCGAAAAATTAGAATATCGTGCAAATGTTCATTTATTTCAGTAATGCAACTTAAAAGGTGAAACTAATATATGATATAGACTCATTACATGCAGAGCAAGATAGTTCAAGCCGTGATTTGTCATAATTGTGATTATTATGGCTTACAGCTCATGAAAACCCCAAATCCACAATCTCAGAAAATTAGAATATTGTGAAAAGGTGCAATATTTCTCGGCTCAAAGTGTCCCACTCTAATCAGCTAATTAAGCCATAACACCTGCAAAGGGTTCCTGAGCCTTTAAATGGTCTCTCAGTCTGGTTCAGTAGGAATCACAATCATGGGGAAAGACTGCTGACCTGACAGTTGTGCAGAAAACCATCATTGACACCCTCCATAAAGGAGGGAAAGCCTCAAAAGGTAATTGCAAAAGAAGTTGGATGTTCCCAAAGTGCTGTATCAAAGCACATTAATAGAGAGTTATGTGGAAGGGAAAAGTGTGGAAGAAAAAGGTGCACAAGCAGCAGGGATGACCGCAGCCTGGAGAGGATTGTCAGGAAAAGGCCATTCAAAAGTTTTGGGGACTTTCACAAGGAGTGGACTGAGGCTGGAGTCAGTGCATCAAGAGCCACCACATACAAACGGATCCTGGACATGGGCTTCAAATGTCGTATTCCTCTTGTCAAGCTGCTCCTGAACAACAAACGTCAGAAGCGTCTTACCTGGGCTAAAGAAAAACAGACCTGGTCTGTTGCTCAGTGGTCCAAAGTCCTCTTTTCTGATGAGAGCAACTTTTGCATCTCATTTGGAAACCAAGGACCCAGAGTATGGAGGAAGAATAGAGAGGCACACACTGCAAGATGCTTGAAGTCCAGTGTGAAGTTTCCACAGTCTGTGATTTGGGGAGCCATGTCATCTGCTGGTGTTGGTCCACTGTGCTTCATTAAGTCCAGGGTCAACGCAGCCGTCTACCAGGAGATTTTGGAGCACTTCATGCTTCTTCCACAGACGAGCTTTATGGGGATGCTGACTTCATTTTCCAGCAGGACTTGGCACCTGCCCACACTGCCAAAAGCACAAAAACTGGTTCAATGACCGTGGGATTACTGTGCTTGATTGGCCAGCAAACCCGCCTGACCTGAACCCCATAGAGAATCTATGGGACATTGCCAAGAGAAAGATGAGAGACATGAGACCGAACAATGCAGAAGAGCTGAAGGCCGCTATTGAAGCATCCTGGTCTTCCATAACACCTCCGTAGTGCCACAGGCTGATAGCTTCCATGCCACGCCGCATTGAGGCAGTAATTGCTGCAAAAGGGGCCCAAACCAAGTACTCAATACATATGCATGCTTATACTTTTCAGTAGTCCGATATTGTTCTATGTACAATCCTTGTTTAATTGATTGCATGTAATATTAGAATTTTCTGAGATTGTGGATTTGGGGTTTTCATGAGCTGTAAGCCATAATCATCACAATTATGACAAATCACGGCTTGAACTATCTTGCTTTGCATGTAATGAGTCTATCTCATATATTAGTTTCACCTTTAAGTTGCATTACTGAAATAAATGAACATTTGCACGATATTCTAATTTTTCGAGTTTCACACACTATATATATATATATTATATATATATATATATATATATATATACCGCGTCCATATATATTACACACAACTGAAGACAGCTATAAAACTGCAAATTACAAAATTACAATATATGCATGATTGCAATATTAGTGACAATATACAAGGCATGGCCTTGTTACAATATGAGACATCTCTTTATGGATAGGGTGTGGACGCTGCTCTTAAAGCATTATTAAACCAAAAGCAAACATTTATTATATTGT